AACAGAAAACATGCGGTTCGTACGACAGCCTTTGACGATACGCGTGACAAATTGCGACGACAGATTACGCTCGATGGGGGACAATGCGGAGATGCGCAGACACGGTACGATGTTACCGATTACTATACGCGCGATCGTTTGCGGTCCCTCGAATTGTGGTAAAACCAACGTTTTGATAAGTCTACTGGAAAGTCCACACGGTGTACGTTTCGAGAACGTGTACGTGTACTCAAAGTCGCTGCAACAGCCGAAATATCGATATCTGGAGAATTTATTGACGCCGATCGACAAAATCGGCTATTTTACGTTCTCGAATAACAGTGACGTCATTCCACCGTGCGAGGCACGTCCAAACTCGATTTTTTGTCTTCGATGACGTGGCGTACGACAAGCAAGATACGATAAGAGAGTACTTCTCAATGGGTCGTCACTCGAACGTCGACTGTTTCTATCTTTGTCAGACATACGCGAGAATACCGAAACATCTTATACGCGACAACGCAAACCTGCTGATCTTGTTTAAACAGGACGGTACAAATTTGAAACACGTGTCACACAACGATCACGTGAATACCGATATGTCGTACGAGGATTTCAGTGAATTATGCCGTACTTGTTGGCAGCAAAAGTATGGATTCCTAGTGATTGATAAGGACAGCGCGCTTACGAACGGGCGATACAGAAAAGGATTTAACGTGTTCGCGATACCGCGAAACGATTAGTCGCTGTCGACATTCCGTCGAGAAGGGTGAAACGCTCGACGTTCCGTCAACATGGCTGGAAACGATAATATTCGCGAGCGTGAAAAGATTGCACGGGAGATTGAGAAAACGAGCGAATCGATCTGCAAGAAACATCGCGCTTTGAAGACCGGTAAGATCGACGAAGATATCGCGGTCACGACTCATTTTAGACCTATTATCGAGCCGCTGCAAAAGATCGTCGACAACTCTAGCGCAATCGCGGTGAAAAAAGAGCCGGAGAGTAACGCTGACGCTATAATTAAAACGTTACCCATCAAGCGATATAAGTAAGAGGAGGAGGAGGAGGAGGATGCGACACCGAAAAAGAGGAAACGATCCGTGAAGGCGAAACGTTTATCGATGTCGCGTATATCCGATCTATCGGAGACTTTATCGGATGAACCGCCGATAACCTCTACACCGTTCGCGCCGAAAATCGCGCAACTCGCGATACCCGAATCACTCGCGATCGAAGATGTTTTCGAAACTACGGGCAATCCGCCCGAAACATCCGTTCGAAACATGTTACAAACGTCGGAAGGTCAAGAAGTGTTACGAGAGAACTTGGGACCACTGGGGCAAAAATACATGGGTGCTCTTCTTAGCGGTGACGAAAGAAAAAAAAACGCGATCGATCACGTGTACGGCATCTATTTCGACGAGAATAGAATGCGTCTCGGTAACAAACGATTCGGCATTGACAAAGATGACTCTATAATCATAGACAATGTGAGATGCATCGGTACACCGGGATTATACGAGTTGATCTTCGTGAGAATTCCCAATGACGCCATATACATTGAGGACGATGCGCAAAAATATAAGAGCATATTGAATATAAGAGGCGACGAGTGCGCATAAACGTCGATATAATGCTCAAAATCAATTAAAGAGCAACAAGGGATACAAGTATAAACAAATAATCGCGCCGTTGATGTCGTTCGAATCGAAAAAGAAAAAAACGGGAACGGGAGTATTCACGCCTCGCGCGATGACACTAACCGACAATAAGATCAATTACGTGCACTGGGACGATCCCAACGAGCTAGTGGATCGCCTGCGATTGCTCGATGCTTCGCGTCGAGCTGGCCACAACGCTCACGACGAGATCTTGTCGATCATAGAGGAACTTCGCGAAGCTGGCATTATTATAAATTAAACGGCGCCTCGACGAAACTAATCAGTCGATCGACGTCACTCGCATCGAAAAACTATGCCTCTCAACAAGTTTGGATTATTCGAACGGAGAAACGAAGAAATCAGCACGAGCGATCATTGGGGTATATTGGTGACGAGTTACTTGCGTCAAAACGCTCTGTGTCGCGTCGCAACGGACTATGATGCGAGGTCGCGCAAGATTCGCCGTGTAGCGCAACCTGAGGCTGATACCGATGCTGTCAACAAACTGTATGTGGAAGAATGCGTTAAAACGTTGAAAAATCAACGGAAAAAATCAGACGAGAAGCTGACTGCGTTCGAGACGGACCTGCGAGCTTTGCAGGCTGCGATAAACGAGCTTCGTCGTACAATTAACGCTAATTCAGAAACGGTTATCAACCTGTAAGTGTGCTGTAGTGAACGGCTTAGGAGCGGCTATTGTACAATTATTAAACATCTAGAAAGGTTTACCAAACGGCTACGAACGATTATCCGATGATTATCGAGCTATAATGAGTGGCAGTGATCGAAGAGGAAACGGTCTCGAACGAGGCTACGAACGATTCAAGAACAGCTGCGAACGAGGCTACGAGCATCTCAAGGACGGCTGCGAACAAGGCTATGAACACGTCAGGAACGGCTACATACGAGGCGGCATACAAGTCCACAACGGCTACGAACGAGTCAAAAACGATTGTCAACGAGGCTACGAACGGGTCAGAAACGACTGCGAATGAGGCTACGGACTGCTTAAAAACGACTATCAACAGGGTCAATCGCGCCAACAAAGGGATCAAGAACGGCAGTGAACGGCAATTGAACGGCAAGGAACGGCTATAAACGGCAATCGAACGGGTCAGCAACGGCAATCAAACGGCTATTGAACGGGTCAGCAACAGCAATCGAACGACAGTGAACGGCAATTGAACGGCTACGAACGGCAATTGATCGGCTACGAACGGCTATTTAACGGCTAATTCGATCGATGAAACAACGATGGGCCGACGATCGGGAATAACCGGGGAAGCGAAGAAACAACATAGTTTAGAGAAACGGCAGTTGGTGAACGAACTGCACGCACCGGCGAGAAAAAATTTCCCCCGAAGACACGTAATAGTGCGGGGATACAATGATCTGTGGCAAGCCGACATTGTCGAGATGCGTCCGTACTCTCGTTTCAACAGAGGTTACAACTACATACTCACAGTCATCGATGCGTTGAGCAAGCACGCGTGGGCCGTACCGCTCAAGAGTAAAGGCGGAAGCGAGACAGCTGACGCTATCGCTGAGATAATTCGAGATAGCGAGGTGTCCGAAAAACATACAGACCGACATGGGGAAGGAATTTTATAACGCCGACGTGCAACGGCTCATGCGAAAACACGGCATAAATCATTATTCTACGTATTCGGTATTGAAGGCATCGATCGTCGAGCGATTCAATCGCACGCTAAAAGACATGTGGAAGATGTTTACATTGAACGGATCTTACAAGTGGGTCAAGGCGTTGCCGGGACTCGTATCGGATTACAACGCGTGCAAGCATCGAACGATCGGTATGCGACCCGTCGATGTTACCCCCGCGATCGCCGAAAGACTCTTGGCTACTGTATACAACCGTGTAAATATCGCGGGTCCGGCGAAATTCAAAGTAGGTGACTCGGTACGCGTTAGTAAATACAAGACAGTTTTCGAGAAGGGTTACACGCCAAATTGGACAACCGAGGTGTTTAAAATTGTAAAAGTGCAGCATACTAATCCCGTGAGTTATCTACTGGAGGATTATCGCAAAAAACCTATCGCTGGAGCGTTCTACGAGCACGAGTTGCATCGCGCGAATTATCCCGACATGTATCTCGTGGAGAAAATACTGCGCAGGAGAGGTGACGAGGTTTACGTGAAATGGCTGGGATTTGACAATTCGCACAACTCTTGGATACATAAGGACAATATGATTTAATTTAAAAGGTTAAATGAGATATGATTTAATTTAAAAGGTTAAATGAGATTGTGTAGTCGACCAAACTAGCCAGAATTATAATTTATTCAATACGACGTTTCGACCATATGGTTGTGGTCCTTATCAAGTATACACTGAAATAGATATATAAATTACAAAAAATTATTATTTATATCTAATTTTCGGTTTAGAACGTAATATGCACAATTAATTTAGTTTAAACGTGAGATGTTTTAATATACATACAAATTAGCCGACGTAATGATAATCAGAGTATCGGCATAGATAGTAATCTTGTGCAAAGCACAAGGCACACTAACAAACTTTTTATTTTAAATTCGATTTTTGAGAACAATGAGTCCGTGTGGGATCTCGTCAAAGACTGAACACGATCATAAGTAAAACGGAATTACATGACCTTTATTATTTTGTCATAAATGTTGTTTAAATTTTCTGTGTCTCTTTGTAAGTTGATTAGGTTATCAAATCTCTTTATGAAAAACATCTCAGCAATTTCTCTTTTACGAACATACTTTTCCCTGTGTAGGATGTTCGGTTTTATCCAATCAAAATCATGACCAGATTCTAATCTATGCTTGCTAATTACTGAATGATTAGTTTCATGTAATTTAATGTTGTTACAGTGTTCTTTTACTCGCGTACGTAAATGTCTTTTTGTTTGTCCGATATATGCTAAATTACAGTCTTTACAATTTAATTTGTATACAACGCCTGTTTTATCATTATCGTGTAAGCGATCTTTACCACGTGTAATTAAATTATTTTGTTTTTTAATTATCTTATACACGACCTTAAAGCCTCTATTACGCAGGAGACGGTATAAATCTTGACTAACATTTTCAACATATGGTATTGTGATAAACGGAGTCACGTCAGAACGAGTAAGATTCACATCAGTTGTAACATTATGGTCACGATTATTTAAAATGTTGAGTCTTTTTTTAATGTGTTTATATATAAGATGTTCCGGAAAACCGTTCTTAATTAACGTGTCAAAAACTAGCTTTATGTTGTCTTGTTTAAAGCAGTCATTAGATAATAAGATCGCGTGGTCAACTAAATTGTAAATAGTATTAATTTTATACTTTTGTGGGTGGTTCGAGTGATAATTTATATACCTCCCTGACCATGTAGGTTTCCGGAACCAATTAGTAATAAGTCTATTATCGGACCGAATAATTTTTACATTCAAAAAGTTAATGGATGAGTCATCTTCAGTCTCATAAGTGAATCTTAAGCGTTCGTGATAATTGTTGAACTTTGTCAAGATCTCGTTGATTTTTGCGCGTGGTACTATTGCGAAAACGTCATCGACAAATCTATAATAAGTAGGAACGGTAAAACCTAATGAGCTTAGACATTGCATCTCCATATCTTCCATTACCATATCTGCTAAGATAGGTGAAAGTGGAGAGCCCATGGGGGTGCCGAAGATCTGCTCATAAAAACGCCCGTTAAATGCAAAACAAGTTGAATCCAAGATCAATTCCGTTGCAAATAAAAATTGAAAAAGGTTGAATTTAGTGTTCTTGGCAATATCTTCCCAGCGTTTCCGTATAGCATTTACTACCAAATCTTTGGGGACGTTAGTGAATAATGAAGCCACATCCAGCGACACCATGATGTTGTCCTTGTCAATATCAGTGTTCTTGATAATTTCGACAAAGGACCAACCATCTTTGACATATGAATTTGGTTTTCTTATCGATTTATATAGGATATCGTGGATGTAGCTCGAGATATTGTATACCGGGCTTCCCAAAGCAGATACTATGATTCTCAACGGGAAACCATCTTTATGAATCTTCGGCAGCCCGTAGCATCGCGGCAAATTTCCGTTTGTGCAATTTAAGTTTTTATATGTCAACTCACCGATCAAACCGCTCCTACGCCAAGACTTGACTAACTCATTGATTTTGTTAGTTAATCTTTTCAAGGGATCCTTTTTTAATTCCCTGTAAGTGGTTGTGTCACTCAGCAGCAATTCCATCTTGTCGAATGATTTAATTTATATACAGTGTTTATTAATATTTCTTTCAATAATACTATATATGTATTTATATTCTTAATATAAGTATGTAAGATATGCGTTACATAAAATATATGAAATATAAATGTGTAAGATGTGTATTATATAAAACTATATGAAGTACAAAATATATATAGTAATAAATAAAATATATACATGTATTTACAAAGGTATCCTATAATGTCCCCATGGTAACGTGTCAGTCGAATCAGGTACGATATATCGCTTGTCATCGTACGGACTCAGAGCAATTTTTGTCTCGCGGACGGTATACACTTGGTGCAGTTTAGATCTTATACACGACTGCTGTCGCGTCATTTCGATCTCTTCGTTTAAACACCGCGTGTAATCTTCGAAGGTTATCGTTCTCGCGACAACATTGCTCTTGATGCCTTTAACTTTCTTCGTATCTTTCTTTCCGTCCACTCGTAACGCGTACATCTTTGCTCTGAGCCCGACGAATTCGGTCATTATGGCACCGTTGTTTTCGTCCTTTATCAGACCCGGTACCTTTTTATTTACAAGCGGTATATCGTACGCATTGTCCACCGCATAATCGCTCGTGTCGAATCTAACAATGTCGCGCTTCATGTTGTCGTACACATCCGCGCACTCGATGTGATATATGAGACTATCCGTATCGGTGTACATTACCCGGCATTTGTCGCGATACAGAGGATATATGTACTCGTGATGAAATTCGTACAGACACGTCTTGGATATGTCGAGTATGCACATACCCACGTAAATCGGTTTGTAAAATTTCACCTCGAGTTTACGCAATTCTACCGCAATCAGATTTTCCGAAAAGACGCTTCTGCTATGGAAATTCGGTTTCGCGATCATCTCTTCCGCGCCGAACCGACCGTCCCATTTTGTTAATAATTTTACATCGACCCGATTACGCACATTTTCCATCGTTTTGCCAAATACCGCGTTGTTCATTAATTTATATGAATTTTTCTCGAAATCGTTTTTCGCGAGTGTTCTGAAACGTGTATTTAATTCTATGTAATTTCGAAGCCATGGAGATTGAGAAAACTGTAAAATTCTATGTATTTTTGTTATACGAAGGCCGTGACGCGTATACTGTTGTAGGTTACGGTAGTGTATCACGTAACACTTCTTATCGTATAACGTTGCGAGGAGCTTGTCTTGCCGCTTGCCGGGCGGCTTGTCGCGTGTCGGACAAAACGGTAGGTCGGTGTGCGTATCGTGAAGATGTTGCGGGTACTCGAGATCGACTTCAAGGATATACCCCATGGGCGAATCTAACGCTATAGATGATACGTCAAAATTCGACGCGTCGTCGACCCATCGAAAATCGGCGTAAGGCAACGGTTGACACATTGCCCATCCGTATAAATTATTAACGTCAAAATACATCAAGTACGACGATGGTTTCGATGGATCGTACGATTATCGCATGTACTTGTTATTAGCGCGCGCGTATCTGTTGGAACATTGGCTCAGACCACCGCATATACCGCGTTCTACATATAAACATGACCAGGTCGATATCTGTAAGCAACTCGAACGTGATCTTTGTATGCTTTAACATGGCGTCCCACGTGTATCCGGGCAGAGTATAGTAATACGCGGGGTCGAGTCCGTAACTTTTTATGCAGCTATCGCGAAAATTTTCGAAAATATCGGCTAATAACAAGACGTCGATTTTGAGATACATGTCGCTGTATTCGCCCAGCGTTCGAATGGAGAATCGCATCCAGATGTTCTCGGCGTGCGCGTAATCGCTCTCGGATATAGTTTCACCGGTCAAGGAACTATAAAACGATTCGCGCGGTGGTAAACACGTATCTCGCAACCTATCTACCGAGTCTATGTATTCGTATGGTAAGACGCATTTTCGCATTAATAAACTGAAATTTTTCGCGGATAAATTTTGAAATTCCGATTTTAAAATTTTGAGCTTGTCTTTGTCTAGACAAGATGCCAATTTGTCGAGACTCGATGTAAGAAATTTGTACGAATCGATGAAGCGTAATTTTACATTATTTTTCCAATCGCCTTCCTTAAGGTCGACATATTTCGTAAACGAAATATATTTTTCTTTCGTTATCGGAAGTAACTCGACGCTCCCTTCGAACGCTGTAGCTATTTCCTCGATAATAAAGTGTGAATCATAACCGGATAAATTGTGGAAAACTATCGGAATACAAAAAGATTCTTTGTAATTTAAATTGCAATTTGAATGCGCGGGACCTCTGTACCGCCCGGTCAGATGACAATGATCGCGAACGCGTGTATCGTCTTGCGCGAACGGCTTTTCGCATATATGACATTGAGTGGCGTTGTAAAATTTTTCACACTCTTCGGACGTTAAATTAACCATGGGGACATTGGTCGTTAAAATATTCTTAACGCGAATCGCTAAATTTTTAAGATCTTCGACGAACCACGCTATACAATCGACGCTACGACGCGAATGATACGCCGATAAAGATTCATCGTACGAACAATGCATATAATACGCTATACTAAATACCCGATGATGCTGGTACAATTTTTGTTGTTGTTCTTCCTCCGTTTTGGTCAGAACGCATTCCAGGTCGGCGTACACGACGAATGGAAGCCGCTCTTTCCTGTTGTAATTGTTAAAGTCGAACCACTTGTCCTTGTCGCTCGGCAATCGGATAGCGCAGTCATTCATCTCCCCGCAGTCGACCGTATGCGACTGCAACTTGTCATCAGAACTAAAATAATGCAGGCATCTGTAAAAGAATATTTTTTATAATTTTGAACAATTTGTTATATAAATTATTATTATTTTATATTAATATATACATACCGATCGCAGATATATTTGTGATTCTTGTGTTTGCTCAGTTGCGAGCTCACGAGCCGGGATAAATTTTTTATCCACGCGAAATGTCCTACTAACGTTGTTGCCGTCTTTCACGTATAGCAGATTCACGTGCTTATCTCGCTTCTGCTCTGTCAGTCGTAGTGGAACAATGTTCTCGCTTTCGATGCCGTACACGTTGATCGAGATACTGTTTGCGAGCTCAAATTTTTTAATTTGATTTAAAGTTACTGGAAACTCAATGTCCCGGAGATTCAGCTGTCGCGTAAGGTGGATACGATGATTCTCGTTCCACCTTTCTTTCTGCGGGATATAGAGCGGCGACCACTGCCCACGCGAAACACGCATTGTCTTTAGACTGTACGTTAACCATCGCTCTTTTCACCATAATCTCCCGCGACAATTTAATGTGCCATCCCGCGCGCATTGGATTATATTTATTTACATTAACAGTCAAATTCTGTATTCGCGACAATGCCCAGCCACTATCGCGTTCCTGAAACTCTTCCAAAGACGCTAAAGTGGGCTCGATAACTCGCGGCGCTCGAACCACTCGCTCCTGAAACTCTTCCAAAGACGCTAAAGTGGGCTCGATAACTCGCGTTCGCTCGAACCCTCTAAATCCGATGTGCGAAAGAGTTCACAGTTTCTCGTATTCACACTTTTATTCGCGCGCTTATCACCCGACACAAATTCACCATTAAACACAGTGTTCACTTTTACACTGTTATGTCTTTTTAGAACATCTTGCATTTGCTCGAGCACGATATCTTCGGCATCCTCGAGAAATTGACGAGGTTCGATATAGTTTGCGTTAATCACGGCACCGGTCAGAATACGGCTGTCGAACGCTGTATCGATCTCTCGCCAAACGAGTCTTTCAGCATTATTGTCACCGCTATAATCACCACCGCTGGGAATAAACCGTCTCTGCAATCGAGTCTTTGCACCTTCTAATCGCGCGATTTTAGCCACCAGAGATTGCCTGTTTCTGATCGAGAGCCGCGGACGCTTGACACGACTGCGTTCTTCGAGCTCTTGGATCAATTCCTCGTAACGCTGCAGCCACGCGAAATACTCGCCCAATGTTGCAATTTGGCGAGATCCCTCCATCAGATCGCGTTCGGTCTGCTCGATGTTTTCCATTTTCCTATCTTTTTCACACTTTTAAAGCACTACGTCACAGTTTTCTACGGATGACTTTTGCACACGATAAACAATACCGTTTTCTATCTTGAACGTGAAATCGCGCAAAAATCTTTCTAACGGAACACCGCTATACTTTTTTACAACCGACGTGTCGATGGGCGTTCAAATCACATACTATGATGATTTGATGCACTTCAATCCTTCTTATATATGAAGGAGGAAACGAAGGTACAAAGCAGCCGAACATCGGCGCTCATACGCGTCGCAATATCGTCTCTTCCGAGAAAAAATTACGGAGGACGATTCTGGGAGGTGCCATTTGTTTATATTGTTCATAAATTCGCATGATGTATAATTCAATGAGAGAGAGATAAGGATACGTCGAACGGAAAAAAATCTAGAATTACTTATATCGGGGGTAAGGGATGTACCGCGAAAGCGCAAAGCAGCCGAACATCGGCGCTCATACGCGTTGCAATTCTTCCGAGAAAAAATTACGGAGGACGATTCAGGGAGGTACCATTTGTTTATGTTGTTTATCAACCGGGCATAATACAATATCGCTTATACTTTCCGGGCATAATACAATATCGCTTATACTTTCGATAAACATATGGGACCGCGCGTACTTTTTTTTTACGAGGTGTTTACGGCGATATGGCGATAATGTCGCATCTCTATTATACGATCTCGTATCGAGATCTCGCTGCCTTGTCAGAAAGAGTTTGTCAGTGAGTTTGGCAGTGCGCGAGTCGAGAAATCGAAAGTGAAGAAATCGAAAGTGAAGAAGTGAATATTTTTTTCATCATTTTTGTGCATTTTATAACATGGCCGAAGAAAATATCATTATCATTAATGATGACGATGATGATGTTATGATCATCGATGATGACGATGTGATGATCATCGAAAATAATAATGTGAGGATCATTGACAATAATAATGTAATGAATGTTGATGAAGATGACGAAGATGACGAAGATGACAT